AGCTTGAAATTGTTACAGAAACTGAAAACTGAAAAGGCACAATCTATGTATGAGTAACACATCAAAACTATAGGTTTGTAATAAGCAACAGAAGCACTCATCAGTAAGAGCACCTGGCACATAGATAGTATAATGCAATAAAGCAACAGCTTCCCACTAAATATATTTTGATTGTGCATTAAAAGAATTGTGGGCAGTTCTTAAGGACTTACCGTTACAGGCCTTGAAAAAAGCCTGTTGCATGAACATGTTTCAAACCCTATGAATTTTTTAAGTACTCTGTAAATAAATACTGTTACTGAAATATGGAGTGAGAACTAAGTTTCTTATCCCTTAGTTTCAGATATATGCAATTCTCTGCCATTTAGACTTGAATATGATTTCTGTTATTAGACTGAGCTTGCTTTCTAAATTATAACTTGACAATGAAATCAGCATGCAACCACACACTCTGTATCTCCTTCTTCCTTCCTCTTTCTTTGTCACAAATACAGTAATTTTCTGCTTAATGTGAACCACAAAACCTGCCCTATTAAATAGATGGTTGATATTATGAGCACCAAACAAGACATTAAAAAATCATTGAGGCATTTGTCTAGTTTAAAGCTTTTTTTTTTTTTCAAAAATGGCCTAAGATTGGTAAATACAAAGACAGCAAATCTTCTCATAAATTCTAACTAAAAATGCTGCTTTTCTTTAACCATGAATCTGTACCACCTGACTGGTCTCCATTGGTCTCTTCTTCTCAAGGAAGATGGAATAATTCCCTTGCATTTTTTCTGATACTTGCTATGGTTGATAAAGAGATGCTATGGATTGTTACAAAGAGACGTACAGAATCTCTTCACTACTCTGTTGAAAATGCAAATGGTGAAATAAATTTGAAGAACTTACTTTCTTAGTATTAAGCTCCACTGTTCTTCCTCTGAAAATTCTGCTGAGATAAGAAAAAAGCTGATGTTACATAGCTCCTGTATGCAATTCATGTTTTTAACAGCTGAAAATAAGTTTTAGTGATGCTATTCTTTTACACCTATTTTATTTATATTTAGCTCAAAATTAACAGATTTAAACAGTAATGTCCGTTCAGAGATTATTCCATTCTTCATCTAAAATTAATACTTGGAATCAGCTGAAGCATTTTACTTTATCTAAAGCCGAAACTCAGTTGTTGGTTGAACATTATTGGTTAGTTATTCTTTATGAAGTACACCAAATCAGTGTACTGTCATAGAATCATATACTTTTAAATTAAACCTTCTTTTTTGACAGTAAATAGCAAACTCAAAAAGGAAGGAAGATTGGCCTGTAAAGATCTAAATACTGTTACCTTCTTTCTACCATGTACATGCTTGATGCTAAGTGAACATCAGGATTTATTCTCTGTAGGCTGCACCTGTGATAGAAGTCAACATTGCTGCACAATGTTGACCTTAAAGGTTTGACATTCTAGCAGAAAGGAGTGGTGCGTGTACACATCATGTGCGAACTGTCTGACACATAGATGCAGCATACAACAGGCTCCAAATGATGCCTGGTTCTAGTCAACAGAAAGATTCTGCTTGCAATTTCATTTCGAGCAATGGCACAGCCTATCTTCATGAACAGCTTAAGTATTATTTTAATTTCCTTGAAGATATTAACTCTTCCAACAGTGATGGAAGAACAAGAGAACTGTGTTTTTGATTGTATGGAAATAAATCTGATTTCTGACAAGCTTATTTCATTTTGATATACAGCCTTTATCTCGGGTTTTTAATTTCTTGTCTGCTTTCAGACAGCTGTCCATGAGTTTAATCATTGCTGCTTCACTTCTGCACACACAAAAGTCTGAATACTGGGAATTTCTTGGAAGATAAGGGAGAAATTTTCCTTGAAAATCAATGTGAAGTGGACATGTCAAGAAAGAGGCAAGCATTCTTTCAAACATTCAAGACCACATTCTGACACTTTCATCAAGTAGGATTTCAGTCTGTGAGTAGTGTTACTCTAGGGTGAGGCACATTTCAATACACGACATTTCAATATAGTGCAGAACAGCCAGAGGTTTACTGGGGATCAATCCACCTACAGAACAAATCAGCAGTGACCTAAAACTACATTTTTAAGGAGTGGTTTTAACTCTTATCCTGCCTTTGACAATCAAATCAGAATGTAATGCTTGAAAATATTTCTTCATACAGAGCTCCTCTTGTAAAGCTATTACAGGTAGATGTGGACAGAAACACAAAAGCCCCAGCTCACTGGTCCTCATTCTCAGTAAGCGGTAGCTTGCTTCAAGTAACTGAGTAGTTCTCTGACACAAGAATTAACCTGGTCTCAAGCGAACAATGCCAATTTTCGGAACTAGCAAAGCAATATTTAGCTTCTGCATCAAGCTTCAGGCTTTATTTAGGTGAACAGTAATCACGACTCCCATTTCTCAGACTGAAAGCTGGATATATTTCCAAGGGAAATCCTCTTGTATAATCACAACTTGATGGGTAAACTATAAGATTTACCATATAAAATTCTGTGTACTATACTGAAATGCACAGCAGCCTTTACACTGTTGCAGCTATCCCTCGTGGCTTTGAAGTCTCTTAATCCATACATCATGCTATATATCTCTTGTCAATATACTTGTGGTTTTTCTTTTCAGTAATAGTTGAAATGTTATTCAACTCTACATTCAATACTCGCAGCTGTAATGGAAGTCAAACTTCTTTTCACACATATGGAAAACCTGCTTAATTTACATGTTAGTCCTGGAATTGCAATGAACAGCAGCACATCATGCTGAGGCATTTTTGTTGCTTAATACTTATTTACATTTGTTTTGAGAATAGGAAATTTGGAAGTCCTATTTTTTTTTTTTAAACTCATTATGCAGTAGTACTTTACAACACTGAATTGAACTAATACTTCACGATAGCAGAGGAACTGTGGAATTTATATTGACTTACAAAGAAAATCTAGTCTCTAAGTCAGGGATAGAAGGTATTGCAAAGATTCAGTCTCTAAACAAAAGTAATAATAAAATGCTCTTTTAAATGATGTGGGGGAGAAGAATAAAGCTGAGCATGTTGCCTTAATGCTACAGTTGTGCTCTATTCTAGTTTAAATGAAATCAGAAAGAAATTCCCACTGAAAATAAGGGAAAGTCACATGTTGGAAGATGATATACCCAAAAGCTTCATCTCTGTGAAGCATACTTGAATGCAACAGCTGACTACCCGACCAGTTCAGTGCAAAGTACTCTAGTAGAAAATCAGATCTGAAATTACATTGATGATGCCCTTATGGTGCAAAGCTGAGCTTAGTTCCAAGTATCTAGTCCAGTGCAGCTGTACTAAAGAAGTCCCTACAGTCCTGTCTTGTAAATAATTCATCATTCATACACAGTTTTAAGCCCAGATATTTAAGTGGCAAACCATCAAAGAAACCTGGTGCTAGTGAAGGAATATGGATCTACTTTTTCATGGTATTTTCATTATGCAAGCAGAACACAGAAGCAGACAACTGGAACATTTTGTGACCAAGCTCCTCTTCTAGTCTGCCAATCCTGCCTGTACTTGGAATGTGACTACCTTGTGCAGAACCTAAAACATTAATTTGAGGACATTGCTACAGAGACTCTGAACAGAAAAGCTCAACTACCTGGCTCCTCTTAAAACATTTCCGTTTTTTATTATTATCATAAAGGCTACTGGCACACACATGAACTGGAGCCCTCTAAATTGGGTTTCATGTCGATGTGTCCCTGCCACTACAGCGACAGAGAGGCTGTGCCAACAGGTGAATGCAGGAGGGATGTTTCCATTCACACCCATGGCCACGCCTAGGCAGAATACACCATGGAAACTTCGAGCCGGTGAAGTCTCCATGGTGTATTCACAGTGCAGGTGAGGGGCGGGAATTGGTCCCTGGGACCTTCTCCTGCCGAGACCCTGTCTCAACCACAAAGCACCCCAGAGGGGGTTCCAGGCGGGTGCTGCCGCCGCCTCCCCTCACATCCCCCCTCCTCCTTCCCTCTCCTGTCCCTTCCCCGTCCGGTGGCTCTCCTCTGAAGGCCGTAGGGAGACGCCAGGGGGTTGGATCTGGCTCTTCCGCTGCAGAGCCACGGGCCAGGTCCGCTCCGCCCCGCGCCCCTCTGCCCCAGCCTGCCGCACGACCGGATGCGACCCGCGGGTGAGCCCCCGTGGGTCCCCCGACTCTTGCCAGCGACCCGCCGGCAGCAGGGTCGCACCGGCAGTGGCGACCTAGGGAGCAGGGTGACGCTTGCACAGCTGCGGGAGCGCGGCTAGGCAGGAACGCGCAGGCTGTGTGGACCGGGGGAAGGACTGCTCCGTGCGCTCTTCACCTGTGGGCGTGACCGCCCGCCCCCTCCTCCTCCTTCTTTCTACTTGAAGGGCCGGCGCCGCTATAGCCGAAGATCGGAGCTGGTGGCGTGTTGCGAGGGTGGGAGGGACTTGCTGCCGGTGTCGAGCCGCCTTGTAAAGTGTCCCGCCAGCCGCCGATCCGGCCGCCTTTCGCGCTTTCGCCCCGTCGAGCCCGCAGGACAACCGGGAGGGGAGAACAGGCTGGACTCGCCGCGGGGGACGGGGCTCCTCTCCGCCCGCCGGGCAGGGCTGTCTGTCTACGCCGTGTCTCAGCTGCCCTCAGCCGTTGGCGGGCACCGCCGCTGCCAGTTCCTCTGCAGGTGCCGGGCGCGGATCGCTCTCGCCCCACGGAGCTGCCCGGCGGAGTTCAGCCCCACGGGCGATTGGCCGTGGCCGCCGCCGTGGCCTCGCCCCTCCGTGCCCCCTGCCCCCGCGGCCATGCTGGCCGCGGCCGGGAGGCTGCCGCGGCCTGAGCGGGGCTCGCTTTAGAGCGGCGGGCGGGCGGGCGGGCGGCGGGGCTGGGCTCCCCGCGGTAGTGTCGCCTCGGCCCGGGCCCAGCCTGCCTCCGGACGGGGCGGAGAGGCAGGGGCAGGATAACAGCGAAACAACTTTGTACATTGAAAAAAAGGAAAGGGAAAAAGACTCGTGGGACTTGATCGAAGCTCAGCACCACGCGAGGATTCCGAGCCCTAGTTAACCTCACCTCCGCACCACAGTGACGGGAGGAAAGCTGGTGGCTGCCACTGTGCCCAAGTCCTACAGGCTCTAGAGTTGCCTTGGCTTTCTGGCTGGAAGATGATTCCTGCAAAAGGACCATGTTGCTGCTGACGGACCGCGGGGTCATTGGAAGATGCTTTCCTTGAGGATTACACGCGGAAAAGGGCCATCAGTCAAGGGGAGAGCTGGCTGGTGAAACTGACTGATTTCCAACCCCCACCCCCACTGGGGAAGTGGTTTCAATGGCTCCATCTCCCAGGAGAAGCGGTAGGAAAGATGCCAACGCTTTGCCAAGCATGTCCTCAACTTTCTGGGCGATCATGATCCTGGCTAGTCTCCTGATTGCTTACTGCAGTAAGTACATATTTATCCTGGTGCTTTTGCTGGGCTTAATCCACGGCCTTCCCATCTGAGGTAGCGCTTCTAGTCAAGGCCAAGCTCTGAAGCTGGCAGGTGTACGTACTGTGTCTTAGACTTGCCACCTCAATGCATCTCTGCCTATTGCCCTGTGGTAAAGCAGCTAGACCAACACTTCAGTATGCTGCTTCTCGGGAGCATGTGATGTCCTTCAGCTGCAGATGTGGCATTTCTGTCGAAACAGAAACATCTCTTGAATTTTAGGAACAGACTTCTTAGTGGTAGTAACCATCACCCACGGCTCACAGTTTATTATCAGATATTGCCAGCTTTCTCCCAGACTGTTCACTCCACATAACTCGTGTACTCCCCTCCACCTTCCATGAACAAGAGCTGTTTTTCTTATGTTCATTCCTTTAGGAAGCACATACTTAGTCAAGTGACAGATGTTTTAACATCACCGGGGTAGTATGTGATTCTCTGACTGTGAGATTGCATTGGAATAAACCCTGGCACTTCTTTAGCATATCCTCAGCAGTTTAGTAACCCTATGCTATCAGCCTCAGAGCTGCATCATAGGTTATCAGCAGAGTTTTGTATATTCTCTTTCAGGCTTGATAGGTTGTCAGTTAATCGCGCTGAGTTCCAGATAAGGTATCTGTAAGAGTCAAGTGCCTGGACTATTAGTACTTTAAAAGATCTTTATTTTTTTCTTGCTAGTTTTTTTTTGCTCTTGGCAAGAATAATTTTCAAGCAGGTATGTAATATAAATGCAATGCCCATACTTATGGGAAATGGAATTTAGTCCATAGTACCAGAGTGGGAATCTTTCAAGGAGAATAGAAAAAGGAGTTTCTGTGCAGTAATAAAAATATGTAATTTATTAGGAGGCACCTACACAGCTTTGCCAGACTGAATATACACTGTATTTTCCCAGCCTGAGCTGAATGTGGTCTGTAGTTTACCCCTAGTGTGTATTCCTTTCCTTAGCTGTAGCATAAAAGTCTTTACATTATTCTTGTATTGTTGAGCTGAAATAGGTGTGGGTTATGATGAACAGAGAACAGATGATGGTTTCGGGAGCATCCCTGCTGCATTTCTTACCCCTCTATTCCATTCCTTCCCCTTCAACTATATAATAGTCTCCATTTTTGTATATTTGTTTTATTTTTTTTTTCTGAAACAAGACTGTAATTGGTAAAGATAACCTTTAATTCACTTTTTTTGCATGTTACAGTGCCTCTCTCTACTGATGACAGTGAGAGACTTATTCCAAAAGGAATAATATGTTTTATATTTTTTTTAATTTAGCACGTTTCAAAAATCATGTCAAACAGGTCACACTTTTAAATAATTTCATTTTGTACGTAATGCCATGTTCAATCTGCTAATGTAGAGAGTATGCTAAAAACATACCTTGATTTAAAGGAATTTATGTGCATACAGCGAGATTAGTGACTCAGTAAACATATTACAGGATGAATAGTGCAAGGATAAAGGGAATTCAGATGGCATTACTAATAGGAGGTATTTTAAGTTTGTGCTACAAACGTCTGGAGGGTCCCAGGCTTTTCATGAGAAGACAGGAGTTCTGTGCAGGTAATCAGCATAGTCTCAGAAGGAGTTAACTATAAAATCTGGTGCCTTAAATTTATTTATATTCAGCAGTGAGAGGTTTGACAATGTTCTGTTCTAAGCAATTAAGTTGTACATTCGAATTGTTATATATGTTTATTATTTATTTTTCATTGTTTACTGATGCTGAAGAATGCAAAGCAAATGTTAGCTAATGATATGAAGGTAATTGCTGCTGTGCTTAAATGGCCAGTTTCCAGTTAGTTCCCTCAGTTAGTGTAGATGGTGTTCCTCAAACATGTAGTACGCTTTTCATTCGATATAGCACTGAAAAGCAGCATGCAGCTTAAAATATGCAGTGTCAAAACACTCCACCGTTTATGTAATGTTTCACTGATTTGACAACCACAATTCCAAATGCTAATGAAGCACCATGAGCATTTTCTCTAGCGGTACTATTTGAAAAATTGCAAAAAATGTTTTTGCTCTGTGGAAAGGGTGAAGATGTTTAAAAAAATCAAGGGGGGGGGGTGGGAGGGAAACGTGAAGCCATTTCTACATAAAGTAGTACTGAAAATTTTATGAATTCTTTTAAAAACCATCTTGGCTTTATTCAGTCTTTTTTCATCTGATGTCTCATTCTATTTCTTTTTTTTTTTTTTTTTTAAGAAGACCATAACTGGGGGGTGGGGAGGAGGAGGGGTGACAACTTAGTTATGTTTTAAGAATAACAGCCTTGCTGTATTTCTTATGAAGTGAAATAACTCATTGGTATAAAGTGTTGTGTATTTTTTCACATCTTATATTCAGGTGTATGGAAGTATACCAACTTATTTCTGTTATCAAGCTGACTTATGTAAAAAGCAATAAAGGTTAATACCGTGTTAAATTTTGAATTTTTCTATTTTTAATAGCACTATAAATTAAACTTTTGATCTTCCTTGATCATTTTCATTTTAATCTGTTAGTCTGACAAAGCATATTCCTGAATCAGTTATATGAATGTTACTTTCCCTTCCCCTACTTACTTTGTGAATCTTTTGTTTCTGGGAAAGTGTTTGTTGTACAATAATCATCCCTATTACTGGAGCAACCAGTAAAACCGCCATGCTTTTGTTTCACTTGACAGCCAAGCATATTTATAAAGTGTGTTCTGAATGTATGTGTACAGTCCATTAGACTTTAATTTATACTTTAATTTGTGAAGCACAATTATGTTCTCTTTGACATGGTAAAATGATAAACTGATCATTTTTTTCTTTCTTAAATGTTTAGATTATACTTAGGGATAGTGGCTCCATCCTATGGTGAAAGAGAAAGCTGCATCAAATCAATTAGGTTAGTTGCTATAGTGATAAATTCCATGTAATATTCTCCAACTGAAGAAAAATGGTGTGATTTGGTAGGTTCTCAATAGGAGAAGGCAAAAATGAAGGAGTAGAAACAAGCTGTTTATTATAGTCTTTGGTCCTTGACCACCAAGGAGGAAGCTTATTTAACAGAAGCACCAGTAAATATAAAAACAGCTTCAGAAGGTTATCCTTGTAGAGGGTGACCACCTTTGCTAGCAATTCACAATTAGAGAAGTAGTGACATTTTTGGATCCCAGGCATGCATTCTGCACTTTTTTAACGAACAGTAGTAGACTACTGAGAAGTACCTATAGCAAATTCTTTAAGTTACTTTTTTTATGTTGTAAGGGTACATTGAATTTTTTCTCCTTCATGACTGGGATTTGCATTTTTCCTTGTTAGAAAAAGTTTGATCAATTTAAGGACATTTTCTGTGGTATCACAGCTGTGTGCTAAATAACACAGTTTTGATTCAGACTTATTTTTTAGTGCATTTATTCAGTTGGCTTTGCTGTAAATACTGGGATGCTTTTTATATGTAAATAACAACCTTTTAAACAGCATATGATTCAGCTTTAGCAAAGTTGTAGCTATTATGAGCTTTTGGCTTTCCTTATTTTGTACTGTTTTGTAAGCATAGGAACATTAGACCGCTGGGTGTTACAGGCTTGCTGTTCTGTTAAGATAATACATCTAAGGGCAAGCAAATATATTTCTTTGAAAGAAACCACCAAAACTGAATGGTATTTGGAAAATTCACCTTGTTTTAAATATTGTGTACAGGAAGAAAGCAATATGAGGTCCAGTGTTTATACTGACTAAATGGTGGTATTACCAGGAAAAAGAATCTAGAACTCCAAAATGCAAAATATTTCCTGTAACTTTACAGTTCTGCATTGTAAGTGCAAGTTCTTTCCCAGTACTAAGAAATAGAAAGAGGATATGTCTATGTTCTCCTAATTCATTATTTCCTTTGCTTGCAGAATACAAAATAAGAATGTTGTAATGATGAAATACTGGTAGATTATATGAAATGACTGATTCTGCAGTCTAATTCCATATTTAAATCTGTGGAGTTTGAGCAGAAAAACAAAGCTGTTAGCATGAATAAAAGAAGTGTCTCAAAGATTTTGCATGTTACCATTCATATCATACCATAATTCACATGAAAAATACTACATTGACCTTACCTTAAATTGGGATCCTGTTGTTACACATAGCGTGGACCCTGCTCGTTTGAGAAGTATCTTTTCATTGTCTGTTCTGGAATTGCTTTCTGTCTAGACACAGGGACAGGCTACTATTGTCTGTAGGTCTTATTGTTTCCTTAAGCTGTCGGAGACTGCCAGCAGGGGTGGCAGTTAGTTCTTGGTGTCACCTGCATACCTCTCCAACAGGAGCTACCATACCATCGTCATGTGTAGGCTACTGAACAACTGTTGGATGATAAATAGTCGCTGCTGATTTAGGTTGGATGCAAACAAGTCACCTCTGAATGGAGACCTGTATTTCCTGTTCCTGATAGTATATCATTCAGATCACTTTCTCTGCTTTTTACAAATGAAAAATACAGTTGTTTTTTTTCTTAATCTATTCAACATGTCTGTAGAAATTAATAATGTATAGAAATGAAAAATAATGTTTTCATGATGTTAAATATGAAAAGCAAGTTACTAACACGTTGTTTATTTATATACCATCCCAGCTGCTCCTTCTTAACAAAGCTCATTTTTTGAATTAAAACTAGAACTTTGAACTTAATGGCCTCTACAACATATACCCTGTCAATGTAGGCACCAAACTAACATTGAGATTGTCTCAGCTGTTGTGTTGTAGTCTGTCTGGATGATATATTACATAGAAGTCATTGGCCTCAACATAAGAAATGTCATCTTACTGCTTTTAATGTTGAACTCAACCCTTTAAGGCTAAGGAAGCACCATTTACAATTTCTCAGATGTATTGGAATTCTGGTAATCCTTACTTCCATGACAAATATAACTGCTGATATAGATGGATATAATGGGAAAGGGGGATGGATATAAAGGTAGGGAGGGGGAACAAGAAAGA